AGCACTGTTCGACGACACATTGACCTGTGCGTTCCACAGTTCACGTTGCATCATCGGCCATCGTTGTTGGCAGCATAGGCATAGCAATGCCCCACTCCATCAGCGACGACATTCTGCAGTAACCAGGAGTAGCTCGGCACGTACTACCGCTCGGCCTCGAGCGGGTCCTTGACGCGGACCAGCGGTCCACCACCATCTTGTTCCCTCCGTAGTCCCGTCGGTCCGTCCGTCCGTTCGTTTCCGGGAACAGTGCGCTGGCTGCGCGCACAACTATTCGAGCGTGGCGGATCATACCCTGTGCGATCACGGCCGTACGCCCGGTGAATGCCCTGACGGGACGCGACGTGCGCGGGGCCGCCGGTGTTAATTCCATGCCTACTGCATCTGCATGCCGCTACGCGTAGGCGCATGCAGTGCATGCACGCGCGCGCGCGCCCTCGGGCAGGCCAGGCCGCAGCCCTATGCAGCAGCCTCTTTGCTGTTTTCTTGTACTCGCACTAGTCGTTTCGTTCATTTTGATAGACAGAAGAAGAAGAAAAATGAAATCGGGCGATGAAGAGCGAGCTCCGGCCCTTCCCGTCGACCTGCGCGCGACCGTCGTCGTGGGCGGAAGTCGATCGGCCGGCGCGCGCGTGCTCCCATGACCAACCAGCCGGTGCCCGATCGGTGGTCACGGTGACGAGACGACCGTCTGGGCCGTTGAGGCGCATTAACGAACACGCGCCGGAGCAAAATCGAGCCCGCACGCACGCGCCGCGCGCTCTGCCGGGGCGGCGTGGTGACGTGACGGGGGAGATCGCGAGCAGCAGGGCCTCGTGGCCGACGCCGGCCGGGGCCGGGGCCGCCTCCGACAGCGGCGCAGAAGCGTTCGCATTTAACGCCCGGCGCAGGAGGGGATGGGGGTTATCGAGGCGGCAGCGGCAGCGGCAGCGAAATCTCTCTCTCCTCTCCGCGATGTGCTGCTCGCTGCCACCGTCGTACCGTCGTCGCCATCATTGCCTCGCCTGCCGTTTCGCCCCCCGCCCCAGCCATCATTGCGTGACGCGCTACCAGTACATGCCTGCCTCGGTCGATCGATCGATCGGACCGGCCGGCCCCAACCATTCCCATCGTCACTGTGGCAGTGCATGCATGGCACCGTGCAATCCTCGCTTCGAAAGCATGTGAAATACTACGGCCATGTTGACGCGTACTATCAAAAGCATCAGTGTCGAGTACGTACTTAAGTTAAGCATCCCCGCCATGAGGTCTAGCTGCTGCTACAGCCTACAGCGCGTCTCTACAGCACGTACGTACACCGGGTTTACGTTTTAACCGTTGGTCCACATGCATGGATTCAATAACCTAATGGTGGCATGGCAAGTCAGATAAAATGAAGAGCCAAGAAATGGCACTGTAGGTAGCGTGTGCGGGAGACCAGCTACGTGTCGCTAGAGCCAGAGGAACGCGGCTATGCGTGCGACTGTGCTGGTATATGTGCCTGTACGTATACGTGCCGCCATGAATGCAGGGAGATGCGCAATGAATGTCTCCTGCAGAACGAACGACATTTCTGGGAGGCCTGATGACCCGACGCTGCCATCTCTCTCTCTCTCCCTGGTGCTGCAGCTAGGGGTCCTGCAACATGCATTCTGCCTCATCGAGCGGGCACCTCCCAAAATTCAGAGGGCTGCGTCCGGAGAGAGAGAGAGAGAAGGAAACAACAGCGGGACGACGAGGGATGATCAAAAGCGAATGCCATGTACACTAAAACTGGCACCGGTCAACGGAGCATACAGTGGTGTAATCAGCTGCATGACTCAAACGAGCGCCAGCTCTGTTGCGTGTGGCACGGCCGGCCTCCACTGCTCACTGCAGCTGCATGCCACGACGCGCGATCGCGCCATGCCATGCCATTGCCATGGAGCACACTGCACACACCAACGCCAGTTCGCTTTTGTGCATGATCATGACTTTAGCTATATGCATCTAGGCTCACTAGCACGGCGTGGCCGGCCGGCTGGAGTAATTACCAGCTGCATGCACATGCATGCGAGTAGTAAAGCATCTTCCCAAATAAACCTACCGGTTAGGACTTAGGAGTAGCCATCTTAGCTCAGTACCATGATCTTCTCAGGGATTCACCGTGAGAAAGATCGCCATCCACACTGACCACTGCCCCGTCTGACGATGTGACCTCTCCAGGCGCCCATTGACCTCACATCACATCACCTCACAGCCTAGGGATCGGGTGTAGGCTGCGGAAATCTTCTCCCATGGATCTCTTCACAGAGAGTGTGTGTGGCCGGCCTTTAGTTACTCCCACACAGCCCTACAAAGCTAGCCTACGAGTAGCGGTTCCTCTACCCCGGCCACGCGCGCGCAGTTTGCCTCCGGCGCAAGCAAAAGCGAGCCAGCTGCAGCGTCGTCGCAGCGCAGGAATTGAAGAGAAGCGCTGGTGCTCTACGAGTAAATGCTTGCTTTATTAGGCACTCACGTCGTCTACTACTAGTACTACTTGATCGATCGACCCATCCACCTGACCAGTCCTGCAGAGGATCCATGCAATGATGCAGCATATTTCACCACAGACAAGCGCGCGCGCATGCACCGCAGGCCCTAGCTACCATAGCATGCCATGTCCAATCGTATGTATGTGTAGCCTTCCTAGGTCACCGTAACACACACAAGTCAACCCGAAGATACTACTAGAGCTACTACTGATCTACTGTGATCTCGAACAGATTCAGCAAAACCTGCAAGGTCAGCTTAACCAGTAAGCAGGGCAGGCCATCCTACTTACATGCATGCCTTTCTTTTCATTATGTATTTTTATTTATATCTATTTAGTCCAAATTTGAAACAAAATACTTCCTTCGGAATTTCATTGTGAGTCCAAGGCGTTTTGGATCTCGGCCTGCATGGAGGCTGATTTTTTTTAAAATTAAAAATTCAAATTTTTTGGATTCATGCACAAGTAAACAAGGATGTGGGTGTGTGTGTGTGTGTAAAATTTCAGGATGAAAATACATTGAAATGCAACCTGTACAAAAAAGACAAATTCATGGTTGGGAGGATGAATAGTATCATGTGTTAAAAAAGCCCTAACTTTTTTTTTTGCACAACCCCCATTTCAACTTATTTTCATCCTGAAAATTTACACAATTGTTCATTATGCCTTCATCTCCATCTGTATTTTTTTCAGATTTTTTGAAATATAAAATAATGAATTTTCAATTTGGAATCTTGCATTTGGAGGCGTCCATGGAGCTCGGCCTCCAAAATCAATTTCCTGTCAAAGGCCTACTTTGATTTACAGAAATTATGTAGAAATTTTAAAAGATAAATGTTATTGAAAATTTCTTTGGAGCCTCCCTCATATTTCAAAGAGAAAAAACATTAGCTCTTGGACATAATGAAAAGTCCCATCCTATAAATCAAATATGACATCTTTTTCCCTATAGAAATTGACATATGTTTTCTCACCTCCTATGATTTCCATACTCCCATGATATTCCAATCCTATGAAACGAAGGAGGCTCAACTGATTGAACCCTTGCATAATTATGGGGATGCATAGTGAGTCGAACCAATCGTCAAAAACCGGCACGAGACCATTTGATCCACCACACATATTTCTATACATAATTAAGGGAGAGGTCTGATCAAGTGGTAGAAGTCAAGGACAAACACCATGCATGGATGCAGCGGTACAGCAAAACACAAGAAGGAGAAACAAGCAAAGTAAACATATGCATTCATGCCAAATAGACTAGTAAATTAATTAACACTCTCGCGATCAAGATAGGTAATAATTCAGGTCGTTGCACAGCCACCTAGGTCTTCAACATGGTGAATCTTTTTCCTCGTCAGCAACCTATAGAATATTGGCAAATATCAAAGTGAGGTCAAAGATAGTTCCTTCGCTTTTGATGTATGAATAACTGATCAATTATTAGTTCTTGCTTGTACTACTATATTCTGAAGTATACTTGTTCTACTTGCTACGAGAGGGAACTGTTACTGCCCAACTGTACGTAGTCAGCGTTTGATAAGTTTATACAGAGAATGAAATGGATAGATTATTTCCACTTTTTGTCTTATAGTAGTAGAAGACTAGCTTACTACCCAAACTGCTGAAATTGGGGTGCATCACTGTTGAACATGACAACACAACGCAACTGTATCGGCAGATCAGCGCCAAACTGTTCATGATCAGCTACTTATCACTGGTACAAACAGTTTTCTTCTTCTTCGAAGCTACACTGGAAAGATGAATGCTAATTTGTTTATTATTCGCGCCATTTTAGCTCATTCTTGTTGCGCTTAATTTGTCTTACCACTTACATTTAACTTGAAAAAGAGATGCACGCGCAATAGTAGACATGAAATATCAGTAATTTTCCCCACAGGTGAGGTGTTTAGGTCGCAGTGGCAGCAGGCTAGCTAGATAGCTAGCTCTACCTGCTGATAGATAGTACCCATGAGGCCATGACTTAGAAATTTAGAAAACCTTACGAGTTACTACGGTACTCCACTAGCTATAGCTACTTAGCTAGGCATGGCACCTAAGTTGAAACTAAGCATGCATGCTGGAGCACTATCAAGAGGTCAAGCATGAAACAGATTTTTGTTTCCACATTGATCGACCAACAGCACCATATTTTTTTTGCGTTCATTCACGCGTGACGTGCATGTACTCCTACTAACCAAATGCTGAAGATATGTTCACCACAAGAGTGTGCATGGACACTTAAAATAACCAGAGTAAAAGCTAAACAGTGCGCCGAGGCCGGATTAATGGCTGCGCACACGTAACAGATCATCAATATTTTACAAGCAAATCCGGCAGCCAATCATCAACATTAATTGGGTTCCAACGCATCATTGCACACAGTAAATAAACTAACCAAAGAACCGTGATGATTTATTCATGATCACAAGTGGAAGAGGAAGACCGGCCGGAAGAGTGGAGTAGTTAATGCCGCACCTGGCCTGACAGAGGGCAGCCGCTCGATCGGCTACTGCCCGGCGCCGCCCCTCTCGTCGCTGCCGGCGATGCCGGGCTTCAGGAACGGCGAGCCGCCGAGCATGCCGAGACCTGGCACCGACCCTGCGCCAGCCAATGCGGCCGCCGAGTACCCGAACTCGTAGCCGCCGTTCAGGCCCAGCCTCGCGATGGGCTCGGCCGCCTCGTAGCTCCTGGACAGCATCTGCACGGCAGCGAACTGATGGTCTTGCCCGAAGCCCGTGACCCCGCCGACGGAGCCGAGCGCCGCGGAGTGCCCAACGTTGATGAAGCTCGCCACGCCGTTCGGCACCGCGCTGCCGATGAACTCCGCCATCGACTGCGACCCGTTCGGCCCCGCCGCCGACTGAAACAAGGATCACAGTCAAACACCACCAACAAATGTATGTGCATCAGCGTATGAGCGATGATCGATGGTAAAGAAGATCGACGAGTGTGATGCAATAAAAGAAACCTCACCTGGTACTTGGAGAGCTCGTACTTGGCGCGGGCGAGGTCCTGCTGGAGCTGGCGGAGGTTGCGCTGGAGGATGGAGATGACGGCGACGCAGCCGTAGACGGGGTCGCGGAGGCGCATGTCGGCCTCGTAGGCGAGGGAGTTCACGGCGTCCTCGCGCTGGTACGGGTGGAGCTCGTTCAGCAGCTTGGTCACGTTGCTGGCGCCGAAGACGCGGTGCACGTGCACGAACTTCTGCGGGTTGTCCGGCGGGAAGTAGGGCGCGAACACGCAGTCAGGCTGGCACTTGCGGCGGAGGAACTTGCACGCCGCGCACGGCGACCCCGTGCCGCACACGCCGCCGGCGCCGTTGCCCCCCGCCGATGAGGCGGCCAAGGTGATCACCGATCCTCCCGGCGCCGGCAACGAAGACGCCGACGACGAGGCCATCCTTCACGCCTGCTGAAACAAGAGGAAGATGTGTATAAGCAGAAAGAATCAGTGATTTTATTCTCTTGCCAAATACTCCGTGGAGAACGAACGATGCCTAAAAAGCACAGGAAAATATACCAAATATGCACCCGCATCTCCTATATATTAGAAGGAAACAAATACTGGGCAGAAATCAGAGTAGAATTCGTTTCCTTCTGAGCAGAAATGCCAAGAAAACTCTGGGCATGTGCCTTTCTTGGATCAATGGCCGGAAGCGTAGTTAACTGGGACCAAGAAGAGAAAGGAAGAGACTACAAAAAGCAAGGGGGGGAGAGAGATAAAAGAAAGGAAGAGAAGTTATCGGATCCGACGCCGGCGGTGGTGGCTGCCTACTTACATACGCACGTACCCTTTTTGCACGATCCTTTTCCGCTATCTCTGCGCGCGCCGCCGCCGCCTCCTGCTGCTCACCGCGCTCCTCGCCTTCCTCTCCGGCCTCCCGGCTGTCGCTGCACCTTTTAGACGGAGCGAGCTTCTTTTTGCTCGCCTGCGGATTTACCCTGTGGAGGTTGGAAGGAGAGGGAGAGGGAGAAGCGGAGAAGTGAGGAGGTTAGGGACAGGCCACCGAAAGATGGTGAGGTGCGTGGTATATGTTGCGAGGAAGGGGGAGGAGAAGCGGAGGGGGGATGTATGTTGGCTTGGGACGGAGGGTTAAATGAATGGAATTTGATATCTGTGTTCTTTATTGGATGGGTAGATATTAAGGAAGAGAGAGAGAGAGAGAGAGAGAGAGAGAGAGAGAGAGAGAGAGAGAGCTGTGAGAGAATGGAATGAAAGAATACTGATTGGACATCCGAGGTCAATGTGATGATCTACTCAATCGTATCCATGATCATTATGTTTTGTGTAAAATTTCAGTTCATGGGAAATACATCGATGTGCAATATATATGTACTTTTAGTGTAAAATGTTAAAAACTGTGCAAACCAAAAATAGTTTAACTTTTCATGAAAATAATATTAATCTAACATGCACCCGACCAAGAGAGAAGACAGTGTCAAGCCGACGCCACCCTTCCTCACCTGCCTAAATGGAATGAATATCTCCTTCGTATAGTTCTTGCATAATTTGGGTACATGTTTTTTTGAAGCACTTGATTTTTTATTGCTCTAAACTTAATTATTTCCAAGAAACTTTGGAATCTTCTATTTCTAAGTAGTTACGACCCACTACCAATTTTTCCTAGACATACAATCAATGCCACATAAGCAAGTCATGCATGCAAGTCATAAATTAAATTGGTCTTGTATTACCCTCTGGACGAGACTTGCCTGCTCCCCGCGCGTGCGCTCATCCGTGCTCCCGCATACGTGGCTTGATTTGATTGGAACAAAATAAGGCCCCGCCCCACCCCCTTAAAATCAGGGGGGAGATGATTAGATTAGAAAGAAAAAGAGAAAAAGACAGCCGTAGGATAAAGTGGGAGCACGGATGGGAGCATGGAGAGGGAGCAGGCAAGCCGGATCCTCTCTGGCATGATACTCTCTATGCATGAAGCGCGCCACATCATCAATTCATGCATGATACTCTCTATGCATGCAAGTCATAATTTATTTTTAAAAATTGATTTTGTATTGGCAGCATGTGTTGAGAGATTGCAGCATGTAGTTCACTCTTCATATTTTTGTTAGAAATGCCATTCTTTTAACTGAAATCTCTTTTTTTTCTCTACTTATACTCTTCATATTATTTTTTATTTTTTAAGCTTACATTTACTTCCTATTAGTTTTAGATGTTTTTAGCAACTTTTATGCATGTATTTTAGCACAAACAATTACACTTTAAAGTGATCATCTACTCAACTTTTATTTTTATTTTTAGCAACGAAACTCTTATGCGGGGGGCATTCATCTAT